GGGCCCGGCCCAGAAGCACTTGCCGGCGCGCCAACCGTCCTCAACACCCCGCCCGCACCTGTCCACCGGCGTGTGGGCCCGGCGCTCCCGCCGCCGACCCCTTTTATCGCCTCCTCGGCGCCGCGGGGCACGCTGGGAAGCGTAGTTCGTCACCCCGGCACGGCCCGCAGGCGGCGGCCCACCAGAACTACCCGTCCCAGCGCGCCCAGGGGGGCGTCCCTCGCCTCGCCGGTGCCGCTAGAGGAGTTCCGCGGGCGCCCGAGGTGGGACCTCTCCTTACCCCGTGCCAAGCCTGTGGGCGTCCTTCCCGGTGCCACTTCATACTTTTAACCGCTGTGTTTTGTTGCTGACTTAACGCACGTCTTGCTCATGCGTGTGTTTACCAGCAAAACAAGCTAATTTAAGTCTTCAGCTGCTCTCTATGCACCAATTCCCAGAGATTAGATTCAAGTGCAAGACATGCCATAACTCTGCAGGGCTTGGAAATTAACACCCTATTTTCTCCAACATCTCCTTTATTTTTTCAACTAGTCTGCCTGGATTTTTTTCAATCCTGTCTGCCTGGATTTTGCTTTCTCCTTTATGTTTCTTTGGCATTTCTGAACCCCAGGCCCATGAGAGCTGCTGGGCGGTGTAGCTGGCTGGGCGGTGGTAGCTCCAGACTGTCCCCACCACAGTTATGCCACCTCCGCCGCCTGCGGCCTGTCCTCTTCCTGCGCCCGTGGGGCACGTGCAATGCCCAGTCACACACCTGAACCCGCAGCCACAGGCAGCACGGGTGCTTTGTTTATGCACGGTAAAGCTGGTGCCATCCACAGCACCGCGCGCAAAGCACGTGGGCTAAGCCTCTGCGCAGTCCAAGCGCTGAAAGTTCAGCGCTCTCGGGAAGCCTTGGACTTGCCGCCTGTATGCTGCATGGCATGTGGGCGCATAGTGCTGCCCACAAAAGTCCAAGCAGTAATCATCTGTGGCTTTGCTGACTTTCATAATGAAATCCTGATGATCAGATGCATGGGTTTTGGGGGGCGTTCCTGAAGTCATTGTGCAACACGGCATTTGTTTAAAATCCTGTGTGCACATATCACTAATGATGGTTTATCAGTAGCTGGGATGGGCGTGAAGTGCTCATCGGGAGTTAATATTAGATACAAGCCAGATAGCAGGGAGTGTGGCCAGATAGCAGGGACCTTGCCTACCTAACCAACCTATACCTGACGAAAGCTGACAAATTCTGGCATTTTTCCTGTATTCATTGAATGACCAGAAATTTTAGTCAAGGTTTATCAACTATGACCTTTCTCCACAACTTTTCTGTCACCTGGAGAGGTGCTTTGGTGTACTGAACTGCAGGTTTCCCTTCCCCACAGAAGATGAGGAGGTCCTTTTCCTAGTGACAGCCAAACCCCACATGACTCTTGGTCACTCCAAGCAGAGTTCAGGCTCCCATGCCTTATATTTGTCCCGAACTGTTTTTACTCTTGTAACCCACTCCAGCAAGTATCGTGGTTGTGGTTGGTTCTTTCCCTCCACCCCCAAATCCTTCCAAGTGGAATAAAGCCCTCCACCCAAAAACATGCGCTGAACTTCCAACTACCCTATGGATACATGCAGTTAGTATTTGTCAGCAGCTGAGGGGGCACGTACTCAGCAAAGGGGTCATGTAATTCAGGTCTGTTTGCCAAGGGATTTCTAGGACTGGAAGCCTTTTGGAGCAGTCAGGGTGCTCCTGAGGATAGTGCCAGCGTGCTTTAGGAACAAGCACTCTAGGCATCCATCAAACTCAACCACTTTTGCACTCATGGAAAGAGCTGACTCCCACTTTAAGTTTTAGTGAGGGGAGAAAAAAATCCCCACATGTTTTTTCTTCCTGAGTACCTGGTTCCCTGAGGAACTACTGTTCACTATATAGTTTCACATTTCTTCAACAAAAACATGGGGTCCTGCTCAGTCTGCTGTATACAATCTTTAGCACAGATTCACCCTATAGCTTAAAGGCGAGAGTCAGATGGGGACTCTTGGGCTCCATTTCAGTGCAGAAGAGGAGTATCTTCCACAGAGCACAAATTCTTTCTCCCCTCTTTTCCCAGTCATCACCTCCTTCCACTAATGCCCCTCCAGTCTGTCTTTGCCCCGTCTCTGGGTGCTTGTTACAGCCCCACTTACCACATGCAGCCAGTTCTAGTCGTCACTCCTCAGCGTCACCCAAAAAGTACTACTTTGCCCCTCCAGGCTCCAAGTCAGTGTTTGCAGTCCCATTCTCCTCACCTAACGGATCCTAGTTCTCCTGTCCTGCTCCCTCCTCCTAGCTGTATTCCCTACCTCCACCAAGCACCAGTCTCTCCCTCCCAGCTCTTTCAGTCTCCGCTGAAGACAATCCCCGTTTGTTGCCCAGTCAGCCCAGGTCACCTCTCCACTTGTTTCCCATCCCAGTCTCCCTAAACCCTATTTTCTTTACAGCTTTCAAAGTCTGCTCTTCTACTTTTCCTCCTTGCTCCTACCTCTCCTGTACTTTGTGTGCAGTCTCTACTCCACCTGCATCTGATGCAGAGAACTCCCCGTATGATGCAGCCTGTGATTTGAGAATTGAAAACGAGGGGCTTTTTGGCTGAGTTAGTTTTCTGCCGGGCCACTGAAATGGCTCTGCATGGGGTCAGATGAGAGCAGTCAGAGCAGCACGCTGCAGAGGACATGCCAATGCGTGGCCAGGGTGACTGTGACATGAAGGGCAAAGCCAAAGTGGCCAGCGTACTGACTGGTTGTAGTCTAGGACTGCCTTAGGCTGCTTTGGCATTACAGCTGAGGATGTCAAGTCTCAGAGCCACAGCTGAGCCTGAGCTAACGGGCACAGTAATGGCGAGGCTTGGCTACAGAGCAAATTGCACTGTGGCAGCTGCCTCTGAACAAACCGTCCTCGTTTGAAGGGCTGAAGAAGGAGCAGGGAGTGCACAGGAATGCAGGCATTTGAAAGTGAGACAAACTTAGCTCTGGCTCATCCAGGGAAAATTTACCACTCATGGGGAGCAGCTAAATTAATTTTAGGGATTATGTTATCTGCTCACAGCTTGCTCCCCCCCCCCCCCCCCCCCCCCCAAACCCATCCAACAAACCACGAGACGCCCCCAGCCCCCCCCCAACTGAGATATCTCAGGTAATCACAGGGTTGACTTACTCATGTGACCACAGCCTTAATCATTTGAATTAACCTTTAGGATATGCTTAAAATCCTCTTTGTCTGCCATGAGGACTTGTGCAGCATGTGTCAGTAAGATATCCAATAATTTAAAAAAATTAAGCATTACAGGGTTTATGCCCACTTGACAGTTCCAACTTGCATGTTTGAAAACTGATAATATGTATCATAATTAGTGCTAACATCAGTTAACATGATAATGGGAATGTTATTTTGGTATCTTCCACTTCACAATCCCAGATAATTTGCACGCTCCATGTACAACATCATTTTCTATCACTAGTATTGTGTGTCTATTTGTGCTAGGTCCCGATTTTCCGTCTGTATATAATTGATCTTTCTGAACTACAATATTTTAGAGTGTATAAATGTGTTAGACTTTAACAAATGCTGAATCTATAAAATACAACACATTCAGCAGGTGTCCGTGTTGGGAATGCTAATATTTTACAATGACCCTTTGAGATGTGGAATCTCTCTTTCCTCTTGCCAAAGTGTGAAATGTTCATTATAGGATAGAGCAGGCAAAAGGAGGAATGTGTTAGAATTATCTCATGTAGATGAGGAAAAATCATTATGTAATCTTTACTTACTCCTTTTCCTTTTACAGAAAAAATGCATGGCCTTTTGCGGATTTCTTCCTCATCAGCATTTCCTAGATACTAAGCTATGGACTATGTCCTAGCAACAGGGGAGTCTCAATGGCCTTTGTGTATGCTGCAAACTTTCACAAGGTGATCTACAAATCACATCTACAGATGATTTACAGATGACAGAATCACAGAGTCACAGAAGGCTGAGGTTGGGAGGCACTTCTAGACATTCTCTAGTCCATCACTGCAGGGTCGGCTGGAGCAGGCTGCCCAGCTGGGTTCTGAATATCTCCAAGGATGGGGACTCCACAACCTCTCTGGGCAACCTGTGCCAGTGTTTGACCTCCCTCACAGTAAAAAAGTGTTTTCCTGTGTTCAGATTGAATGATGTGGTTTTTAATTTGTGCCCATTGCCTCTTGTCCTGTCACTGGACACCACCGAGAAAAGTTTGTCTCTTCGGGTATTTAAGCACATTGCTAAAAGCCTCCTGAGCCTTCTCTTCTCCAGGCTGAACAGTCTCAGCTCTCTCAGCCTCTCCTCATATGACAGATGCTCCAGTCCCTCAGTCGTTTTCATGGCCCTGCGCTGGACTCATTCCAGTAGCTCCATATTTCCCCTGTACTGGGGAGCCCAGACCTGGGCCCAGCACTCCGGCTGTGGTCTCACCGGTGCTGAGTAGAGAGGAAGGGGTCACCTCCCTCGACCTGCTGGCAACGCTCTTCCTAGCGCAGCCCAGGTGGCTGTTAGCTTGCTTTGCTGCAAGTGCACACCGCTGCCTCATGCTCAGCTTGGTGTCCACCAGGACCCCCAGGTCCTTCTTGGCAAAGCAAGGCCACAAGAACTTTTTTTCTGTTGCAATAAAAACAGTGTTATGACTCCTGACATCAGATCAATTTAGGAAAGACAAAGGAAAAGGTGTGAAATATTTTATTCATAAGCAATGGATACATGCTAAATGAAGTCTCTGTTCCTTTTATACAAAGCCCTTGCCGTCCTAGTCTTGTTCCTATTCTATCTCCTCCTCAGCATGTGGTAATTGTTTGTGTGGCAGAACTAGTGGATATTTACAGCAGAGATGTGATGGTACCTATCAAAACAAGCAATAATTTTTTTGCTCCTTATGTTAGAAAGCTTCAGTTCACACACATTTTGTCTCCTATTTTAGGAGAAGGCACCAGTCTTTCAATGTTCTATGCACATTTGAAAATTCACTGAATGACCCAGTAGGAAGAAAAAATTTATATTTACTTGTTTCATTTTCTGTAAGTTGTGCCTTAGGTTATGATCGTGAGAATATTGTATTATAGTCAATCTAAATTATAAATCTACAAAATGCAAAACTTATATCCAAAACATCTTGTTGTGGTCTACTAGACATAAGAAAAGAAAAATGAATGCGTTTTTTAAAAACAAGGTCAAAAATACTATGCTGATATTTCAATTGTGATAAACAAATAATGCAGTGTTAGACAGTTAAAAACACTGTTACTAACGGAGGAAATACAATCCAGGCATCATCATTATGGTTCTTTGGGAACAGCAAGAATTGTGCATATATTTATTTGTAAGTAAACAAGAACAAGCTTTGCAGCTGCTAATTTGATTCATATTCCTGGAATCAAGCTGTAAACAAATGCTTGTATTTTTGTTTTAGAGGGTGGATGAGGTTCGGTAGCTTTCCATTGGTCTAAAAGAAGGAACATCTGTTGTGGCCATAAAAAACTTGATGATCAAGTTTACCACATCCCACATTAGCAACATTAGGCATTTAGGTTGAAATCTGGATCGGACTGAACTCGGTGAAAGTTTCACTGTTAAATTCAGGGTGGCCTGGATTTCAAGCCAAAATCCAAAGCTTTAAAAACAATAGCACAGCGAGAATTAAAAACAAAAGTAGGCTGATGCTGTGTGTAGCAGCTATACACTGACTTGCCTAAAGTAACATTCCAGTCTGGTTTACAAATAGCCTTATATTAGGAAGTACGTATCAAGACATTCAATGCTACGGAAGTGGATTGTATGTTTAAAAAGAAAGCGTGATAAAAGCTTCTTTGGTCGGATCACGATATCAATATCACCATAGAGCAGAAGAATTTTAAAGATCTCAAAAAGAGAAATGGCCAAAGTCACTGAAGCATATTGTGTTCTTTAACCATTAATGGATCAAGGATGCCACTACGTCCTATACATTGCTTATCAAGGGAAAAGAAATGCAGGATAGGTGGATTCAGAAGAGCAAAGTCTTCTCCCTATAGAC